GAAACACTTTACTACTGTTTAATTCTGTGTGGTTGGGGAAGGTTAGGGTTAACATGTAAAATTGCCCGATTTCTGCAATACTTTAGTGATCTGAAACTTGTGTTGAAAACATCCGAGTTCTATTCTGTTTAGATTTGTTCTTCTTGTCCATTGATCAGAACTTGAATTTGAATGCTTGTGCGTGGGGGAGAAGGACCGAACACCAAAGGGTTTTGTGTTCATGTGTATACAAGGAAACCCTAACATGAACATGTACATACATGTTCATGACTTCTTGACATACACAGTCTTAGATGCTCAGGAAAAGACGAAGTTGAAGTTAGGATTTAGGTATTTTCTTTTTGTTTACAAACAAGGACATTTGTGTCAGTTGTAATGTGACAAGTCTGCCTCGTTGGAGCCAAAATAGTGGAACCGGCACATTACATATCCTGACTTTGTTGATGGTTCCAACTTTTGTTTTCCCTGAATTGTGACATCCTATTACATGTAGGTGTGTGTGCACACACTTGTCCTACTTTGTTGTACTTTACATGTACATTGGTTGTATTGGGGTTTGCTGTATAAGGAAGTAATGAATGAGCAATCAGTAGGATCCCGTACATGCCCATGTTGAATGCACAAATCAGCAATTTGTGGGCACATTCTCAAAAGAGATTTCAGAGGGGTGTTCCCTTATGGCCTAAAAACAAAGGAAGATTTATGCATCCTGTCAGCAACTTCAAGGGTGTGAAAAGTCTAGTGCCCTTTTTGTCAAAATGAATTTTATGTTGTTTTTTATTGCTGGCTGCTTAGTTCTTGCGTCAAGTCGAAAGCCCATGTGGCACATGTGTGACTTTCGTGTCTTCTTAGACACACATAATCAAAGAGCATTATATGAGCTGATGAAGGAGCACATCAGCATCTTATATCACCGACAACCCTAATTTTTGTAACCTGCAATATACATGGAACAGTCTGAACTTTTACATCGTTTTGTTTTTAACGCTTAATATGCTGATTTAACACACTTCCTTTTGTCACACAGTTGTCTTCATCTCCCAGCAATTGTCCCTCACCGGTCAGTCTATGCACTCACATTAAGAAGTTGCCCCCAGCACTGTTTGTCTGGCTCTGCAATCGACTGAATGCGCCCCCTGTAGGCAGAGATTGGCAAGGCCTAGCAGGTGAGGCAAAAATACTGTACGGGCATTGCGCATCTGTATGCATTTGCCTTAGGTGTTGTGGACATTTTGTATGCCTAAGGTGTCAAGTTAGCACAACAAGGTTTCAAGTATTGAGTCATGACATTTGTTAGATGGCCTGGCATTTTGACCTGAGCAGTCTCCTCACTGAGGTCAAGAATTAGGAATAAGAACAAATGAAGTGTGAAAAAAATACTTCCAGGTACTTGTAGTTATAGGTATTAATCAATTATTTTTATGAAAACTTCTTGTTTTAAAATGGAAGTTTCCCTCTTTGCTTGAAAACCTTCCAGGTGTGTTGGGGTACAATCTAGGGGATGTTACTGTGTTTAAGATCCATCGTCAAAGTGTCTCTGATCCTTGTTACTCTCTTCTCCTGGACTGGGGTCGTCATGCCAACGCCACCCTAGGTGAGCTGGTCCATCTCCTGCGAGAAAAGCCAATGGAGAGGTTGGATATTCTGACAGACATGATGGAGAAATGGCTGATTGTACAGTGAGGAGATTCCTCGCAGGAAGCCTGGAGATAAGAAATCTTTCCTTTAATGGCTTATGACGCAAATGATGATTTCTCAATTCAGTGGTCCAGATGTGGAGGAAATTTCCATTGCAGAACACGGTGGGAACTTAGTGGCCCGTTTTGTAGACTGTGGATTCGCCAGTGAGAAACTTAAGAGATGGGAACATTTGCCTTGAAGGACACCGTAGAAAAAGGAGCAGAAATCTTGATACCTCCTGTATCAGAACAGATGTGAACATCCACTTTGGAAGCCAGGAACAGTTCTGCTCCACACCTTCAGAGCCTTTTCCTTGGGGAAAAATCCAAGATACTTGGACAACCTAGAAGAGCAGGATGTGGGATAAACCTGTATGGATTTCCATGCAGTACAAATCCAGTGTTTCTTACTGTTAGAGTAACCAGTAATTTCCCTGCTGGCCAGGTAGAACTTTTGAGTACTGTGTACTGATTACATGTACCACTATGCTTATTGATGGAAGATTGTTTACTAACTTTGTTTCGTGGAGTCCTCTATCGTCTTCTTGAATACCAACATTGAATGCTGTAACTAATTGATTGATCGCTTATCTTGGATTTTCAATGCAAGTCCCAAATAACAGGTAGCTACATGTAAAGTGATAAACCAAGCAAGATGATCTGTAGGCAAATCAAGTTGGCTATATTAGTTATGCATACAGTGGCAGGTGCAAGAGTGTTTGGGTGCCTCTGTGGTTTTTTCTTATGCAAATTTCATAATTCATGCGCAAAAAATTGTTGATGTCATTCTATATGTAAGCAGAAACCTCAATGTTGCTGCTATTTCTACACAGAAAGTTTTTATAGTTTTATATTTTGTTTCTGGTGAGTTATGTGTGTGTAAGAACATGGCGTTGAGCTGGTCTCGCAGTCTTTTCAGTTACCAAAGTTTGGGTTCAAAATTGGAACAAAAAATCCCTCAGCATAACAATATTTTCCCCAAATGACATCACAGCAGCAGCACATGCAGTTGTCAGGAAAAGCATGGAAAGTCTGAAATGTTTGAAAAGGAAAAAGCACTTTCCAAAACAGTTTCCGGAAAAGGGGATGTTAGTTTATCTGTTCATTCAAGAGAGGTGGAAAGTTGCAGAAAATGTGTTTCAGAAAAATCCAGTTAATTTTCATACACATCCCCAAGGGGTAAGGGTGTACTTCCAAGCCAAATCTACAGCATACAGTTGGTTACTTTCCAAACTGGAGTAAATATTTTCATGTGAAATGCGACAAGTTTATCTCTTTAGTCATTAGGTTTATACCTTGCTGTTTGGACATTGGGACAATATCGGTATACATGTAATGCTTGCGTGTGATGTTGTTATTCAAATGCTTATTGTTGATTGCTTTTGTACTGATTTTCTATGTACAAAAAAGCTGAGTGCATATAGTATACCATAAATGTGCTTATCTTACACAAGTTTCATGTAATTGCTTGTTGTTGCATCCTTGTAGAGACATAAGCATGTCTCTAGAAGGGAAAAAAGTGGTCATTGGTTGAGTGGACAACTTCTGTGGTGTGTTTTGCAGCTAGTCTAAAAGACAGAGAATCAATTTGCAAAAGGGCATTTTGAAGACATCTGGGTATGGGGCATTATCAGAGGTTGCAGTAATTCTGTAAAGATCACACTAATAAAATCCTGTTTCATGGATTTCCTTGTTTTGTGTATTACCTAGAAAGAAATTCAGAAGAAAAGAAAATATGGCTAATGTTTCCATAAAATGTAATCATATCAAGCAAGGCTCCCTGCTGGTGGACACGAGATAGATGCACTGTGACAAACCTGTGCAAGGATTTCTACTTTTTTCAATTCAGTTCATATTTCAACAGGAAAAGTCTTTGTAAATGTACATATACTTTTGATACTGTTTCTTTCCACTAATTAAAAAAAAACAGGCATAGAAACATCAGAATCATTTTTCCTTTAAGTGTACTTCAGACAGACTTCCACTTCTGGTATTTTTTCCTTCTGAGGGGGGAGTAGTGTTGTTGTTCTGTATACCATGCAAATTGAAATTTTGATTGTAAAAGAAAAATTATCCTTTTTAATTTTGAAATTTTGTAAAGTTCCACAAGAAATTCCATGCACGACTAAAGGCAATTGACAATGAAAATGATCAATCAACCGGTGTCATTTTCTCACAAAATGAAGTTTTAGCTATTTATATGAGCATGCGATAGCTAAATAACTTTTGGTAAGAAAATAGTGTTTGTTACATTTGACATGGTCTTTTCAGCATGGACTTTGTTATCTCAGTAGAGTTGACAACGTACATGTATAGAAACCATGGAAAATGCCACATGGAATGATGTGAACAAGTTACTCGTACCCTGACTCAAGCAAGAAAGTGTATCAGTCTGGAAAAACCCAGCTCCCATATTTCAATTTTTTTTCCAGTGAAAGAGCTTTTAAAAAATTCATGTGGAGTTGGATAGGAGGAAGTAGACATTTCTGGTTGAACGGGAAGTTGTGTGCCAGGATTTCAATGTTAGTGGCTCCGCAGGGGATACTTATTTAGGTCACAGGTCAGAGGTCAGTACTTATAACCTTTTCCAAGGACATGTACTATTCATGATCAAATGCTAACAAAAGCAGGTTTAGGTGAAGCCAACCAGATCCGGTAATGAAGTGAAACCAGATTTGGATCTCAAGTGACTGGTACCTACATATGCACAGATGTTCATTAAATCAGCTTATCACTCTGACTCATGGCAAGTTGCCAGCTTCAGCTGAACCACCCAGCATTTACAAAAATCTTCACTTAGAATGCTTTGAGGTGCTGGGATCTCATAAATGATGTAAAATCAGTGTTATTTCACAGCTTTTCAGTTTTCCAGACGATGATTGTACAGTCACACAATGTAGAAAGTTGAGGCTAACTCTTGTAGTTTCCCTTCAAACCAAGCACCACAGGTGATACCAAAAATTGCATCCATATACAGTATGTGTAGCCATGGTTACTCTGCATCATTAATGGAAAAACCAATGACTTGTGGCTGGAGTACCTCACGGACATAGCCACAGCTATTGTCCTGTTCAAACATTCCAACAGGACATTTCAATTGTGAGGCAATGTATCAAGAGCCTTAGTGTATCTAAATATAGATTTATTGAGGTACAATTTTTTTGTTGTTTTGTAATCATGTTGAGAGTGACAGTCTTGACAATGCAGTCCTGAGAATACGGTCATACGGTATGCCTATTTATATCTTTTGTGGAGGAATTTCTACATTAATTTGGTTGTATCACAAGTGCCTCGATTTGCTCATGTTCACTTTGGCACTTTGACCCCCAAGTTATGGTAAGCCCAAACTCCTTATGCAAATTTTTCTCACAAGAAACTTTCCTGATTCCTCTGAAATACAGCCCAATGTAAAGTAACACAATGACTGAGCTCTTCCTCCATCTTCCAGAAACCCTTCCAAACCATTTTGAAGGATTTGGGAAGGTTAGGAATCACTTATGTGACAAACTCGTCAAGTCTTCCTAACGTTCCTAACTGTAATGTAATATTCAAAAATTCACCAGAACCTCTTCTGACTTGTTGCACCTGTTCTATCCAATACCATTTATTTGTAATCTTCAAGTGCCTACAACACCTAGAAAAATTCCCTCTACCTCGTACAGTTTATACTCATCCCCAACAGTTTTTAAATCAAGCGATACCTAATTTATATTTGTAACATAGAAAAGAATTATTCTTAATGATACAAGTGAATAGTAAAACCAATTAAATTGAGATGATTTTGTAGAATAACATATTTACAACTACAGCATGTTGCTGCTGTAATGGCTTGTTGTACAAGGCCACTTTCTCCAAGGTCAGAACTGAATATTTACACAAATAATGTTTTATTTAAACATGCAAGTGTTATTGGCACTGCCTTTATAAATATTACTGTGTAATGTGTATACTTAGTAGGAAGGAAAGAACACTTAGCACTTCATATTTCAAAATGTACAAATAAATTGATCCCAAAATGGATTTCAGTCATCCCATTTCACTCCGTGGGTAAAAAGGAAGTTCTTATCAAAAATTTTAATATGGACACTTTAATGCATACACGTATCATTGTAGATAATAAAAAAATGATTGTCGAGACAAAAGTGATGCTGTGAAAAGGTGTTTATTTTGAATTAAAACAGGAATGTCAACATTTATGGCCCTATATTAAAATGGAGTCGTATTTTAATTGACAGAAAAGGGTTGGCCAACACCTCTAGTACTTTTTGTAGAAATCAATTCGTTTATGCATGTACATTAAACCTACAAGTAATAAATGCATCTATGGTGGCAATTTACTTAAACTACATGGAAGTCACATTCTGGAACAATAATCAGCATAGCATCCTACCAGTTCAAGGAGCTAAATATTTTACTACAAATTTTGTGGCGAGCTTTAAAAAAATTAGTCATTCTGGGAGGTTTTTTTGTTCGACATGTAGTCCTACAAGTGAAAATTGAATGTCTTGAATAAATACACATGAATATCAGGAAACCTATGATGATTAAAAATACTCCCTAGAGATAATAAAAATCAACTTTCAAAATGTAGCATCCCACTTAAATGCATATTTTCCTAACTTTCCTTCTCAATTATCAATGACCAGATGGAACTTTGGTAATCTTCCAAACCTACTCAATGGGCACAAAACCAGAATTCTTCACATCCATCACACAAAACTTCAGGAAGCAGCAAGTCCCCTGTGAAAACAAATACAGCTAGACTCTATCTTCCTCAATCCTACAAAATCTTCCTAAACCTGGTAGATTTGAAAGGATCACAGAAGTTGAGGCTTAAGTTCTAAATAATCGCTCATCTGAAAGTTACAAACTTTACAACTACTGTTTTATGAGAAGTCTGTATTACTACAGAGGTTGTTCATCCAAAAACACCATGATCTATATTTTTCTTTTCACTTAACCACTTTCATGAGAAATTTCACTGAAACCACTTACAGCAGTGTAACATCAGGATCATTTTCCACCATCAAGTCGTACGCCGATCGGTGCATTGCTGAACCGTCGCCCGATGCGGCCCCAAGCGAGTTGAGACTCGTCCTGTCTTCATTCAGACTCTCCATGCTGGTGCTTCGCAGGCTACTGCCCGTCCGGCTACCAGACTCGCTGTTCCTTCTCAACATCTTCTTGAAGAACTTGGACACTGGCGAGGTCTGGGCCACGGGAATGTTGGGGCAGAGTGGAGGCTTGGATCTCTTGCCAGTCAACTCCTGATGGACCTGGGAGTTGACCAGTGGTTTCATGATGGGTAACTGCTTGGACGGTGTAGACGGCCTGTAATTAGCCAGACGAATCTCCTGCTCAATGTTATTGTACGGTGAGCTTAAGATGTTCAGGTTGTCTCTGATGTACCTGTTCATTTGGGGTGTGTTCAGTCCATTGGTGGCATTTCTGTCAGGTTTGGGACTACCAACTGGTGTTCTATATTCCTCGGCGTTGTCATTCACGTGGAATATGTCCTTGACATGGTCCTTGGTAGAGGTGTGGGTGCGCTTTCCTGAGATGTTATTCATGATCTTGCTGTCATCCTGACCAGCTTTGTCCACTTGATTGGCCATGTTGAGGCGGATGGTTCCCATATCAAACTTAGACCCTTCCCTTGGTGTGTTCTCTGTGCTTGAGCCACCAGAGCTGTCCAGATCTCTGGTGTCGTTGAGGATCCTGACAAACCTACCAGAAGGATCAGGGGAGATGCCTCTGAGATCACCATCAGGGGTAGGCAGGCGGTTGTGTAGTGTACATCCCTGGTTCTTCCTGTTAACTATCAGGGCTGGATGATTGTCAGGGGGTAGAGGGGTTGAGGTGGACACAGGTGGAGTGGCCTGTAATTCCTAAAGAAACAAAAATGGTTAGGGATACTTGTTTGTAAAGAAAATTATTATAGCCAACCTTTTTTTGGGGGGGGGAATGCTCGGCCCTAATTTCAAAGAGCATATTGTGAAGTGATGGAAAAAGCATAAATTGCTTTTTAGAATCTGGAAAGCTAAGGTTTATGAGTACAATCAGAACAATGTACGTGCATGTACCGTAAGCCACTTCACTATGATACCAACAGTGTGTGGACCCTTTGGGTACATTTTCACTGACACTGACTGTGCATACAGGTATCCTAGACTGCATCATAGGCTGTTAAGCTGTCAGGACGCCTGGTCCTGAAAGTTCTGCTGATGGAAACTGGTCTCCAGTTAATGACAAATATTCCAATGAAACTGTTTTGTTGGTGTGGTGAAGTTCGCTCTCACTTTTGCTTGAAGTGTGAACAGACCCTGAACCGTTCAATTAGACTGCAGAGAACATACTAAACTCTAGCAAGCCGGCCTTGATGGATTCAACAAGCTTGTCACAGTATACTTCTTGGGGGGGGGCTGTTGCTAGATTCAGAAGAGCAAAAAGCCAATCAATCATTGAAGTGTTTGGTCATGTCGTCTTACCAGCTCAAACTCAGCAAAGTTAGCAGCTAGTCTTCCTGTTTGCTTGGGAGACTGTGTGAGAGATGGATGGCTAGGAGGTTTGCTCTCCTCTGGAATGAAGAATAACACAAAGTGAATATACCTTTCTTTCCTTGAAGATGTCATTTAATTCCTACCTACATGGTTTCACAAGATTAGCGTGCAGCCGTATTATATCGCTCATCTCTGGAGCGCTTTTGTTCCCGGTGCTCGCACTGAATGACACAAACAGTGGTATAATCTTTCAAACCCATGACGGATTTCCTCCTCTATTGACAATTCCCAGCAGCTCGGTCTTTTGTTCTGAGTACGGTCTTTTGTTACACGGCCCAAGCTCTTTTGTCCAATTTCGGGAACCCAAGCTATGCGTACAAAACCCAAAGTACCTGAAAATGGGCTCCACAGCGGGAAGTGGTTAAGGATTTCTGGCCTCGGTATGTATAAACTTCATCACTGCCGCCACCCCCTGAAAATGCAACCTTCAAAACAGCCATCCCCATACCTTGGAAAATCTACTGTACTCATATTATTATTCCTGTGCACCCTTGCTGTGTTTGCTAAATATCATGCTTAGAAGAACCATCTTGATGAAGGATTTCACGTCCATCCTTACCTGGTCTCGGACTGACGAGGGCTGCGTCTGCAGTCTGGCTACGTCTATGTTTCACCTTACCCTTCTGGCTCTCGGAAGATTTCTTGGGACCTGAATGAAACATGACAAGTGATGAAACCTGATTGCCAAAATGACAGTTTTTTGCCTTTGATGCTTCAGGAATCATCACTTTCTAACCTGTCCTAAATCAAGTTCTTCTTGGGAGTATGAGTTTACGATTGGATATCTCCATCAATTAACCTATTTCGGCCACACTTTTCAAAAGGTATGACAGGTTTGCAAAGCTCATTCATTTTCTAGATGAGGCATTTTTCACCCTTGAAGTGAATAAGCCATAAACACTTCAGATTTTTTAGCAACTAAATATTAAACTTGTTAGCCGCATTTGGCTGTGACTGGCATTTCATTTTCTTGCTATTTTTGCCTGCTGTCCAACAAAGTTCCTGTAGTTTGTCTGGCGTAAGAGATATTTTCATATTAAAATATCTGTAGTCTGATAGCCTGAAAAAGACAACTCACCTGGTTTGACATGAAGCACTACTACATTGGAAGCTGTGACCAGGCTAACAATCTGTTCATGAGTTAAACCTTCAACACTGACTCCATTCACCTGCAATCAAACATGTTACAGTTAGTCACTAATAGCAAGAATGTCATTGATTTGCTAATGTAAGAATGTGTGAACGTTACATTTGTGTCAATTTTAAAATACGAGGATTTTCAACGATGAGTACACCGAAAGTTTTGTTGCCAAAGGGTATAAAATCACACAAATGTAATAGAAAAGTGAACATTGCCTTGGCCATTTTGTTGTTGAATTGGTAACACTTTAGTCAGCCTATAAGTGTTCAAGGTGGTTTTTCCAAGTTTTGAGTTGGGCTGAGCAGACGTCGAGCAACAAAACAGGAATTTTTCATCAAAATGGCAGCCCATTTTTTCAAATGGAGAGGAATCTTCACTTCATCCCCAAAGACAAGTTGAAGTACCACTTCTAATGTGATGGTGCTTTCAAATCCTTCAAAATGGCGATATATCTCAAGGGGAGACTTCTCTCTCTCCCAACCCCCCCCACAGATATCCCCGCCCCTTCCTAGATACACCTCTGAGTGTTCAGTGCAAATAATGGGACTACTCCTAAATGACTGTCTTCTCTCCGTAAGGCCTGTTGGACTGAGTTGAAAACTGCGCTCATGAACTCAAGGCAGTGTACTACACTACTGCAATCTTTCTTGGAGCCAAAATAAAAACACAACAAAAGCCATCTCAGTACAACTGACATTACAATTCTTAATAAAGATGGCTATTCAGCGTTGAATCATTTGCACACTCATTTAACTCCAAGTGGTGATTCCTCCGAGTATAATTCTTTCCGTTTCAAGCAATGGGACTATCTTCTTTCAACTCAAGACAAATAATCTCCAGGTCATTTGAGCCTACCTTAGTGATGTACAGTCCCTTCTTCAACCCAGCCCTATAAGCAGGAGACATGGGGTCTACATTGGCTACCGTCACATCCAGTTCATAGTCCACACCACTGTATGGTTCAAAAACAATCAATCAGTGAACAATAAAGTGGGTGTTAAGAGCACAAGTAACAATTGATTGAGGCTGTCTGCTACGTCAGAAAAGAAGAGTCAAAGAAACTTCCGATAATATTTGTGAAATTTTTACTATTTGGACTTTTCCACCTGGCTGTTTCAGATCCCTTAAATCCTATATCTATTAGTGTGTTTCGGCCATTGATAATCCCAAATTAGCAAGCCATGAAAGATCACAGATAATTTCTGAGGACCTAATTTGTGACACTTCCCAGGGTTACAAGTGCTTCTGGTAAAAAAAATACAGAGACTGACATTGGCAAAAGACACTACAAACATCTACCAAAAGAAACCCAGTGCACTTACAATGAGGGTCCGTGGTTAGTGCACCTTACTTCTTTGGTTAGATGTTCATAGTGAGATGATCTGATTAGGACATGTGACATACCCTCTGATGCTACACCCTAACCATCCATCCTCATCAGCAATGATGGTCACTCGCTTCACCTTTGACCCATCAGCCTCATCTTGGTTGTTGTTATGGCTACTGTTGCCATGCTTACTGTTGCTTGTAGCACTCTTGACAGATTGATGGCTGCTACTTGATCTAGCACTACTGACCTCACTCCTGGTTTTAAACAAAGAACTCGTAAATTGAAGTATTACCTAATTCACAGTTGTATGTTTCTCTATAGTTTCTAAATCTTTATTTTGGTAGGTTTCAATTTGGAGGCATTCCTTGAGGAGATCTTGCATATAAAAATCTTTTTCTTCAGATTTAGCTTTAAAGATTTTCAAAGTTTAGTTTAACATTTTTGTAAAATCTATACTTTTAGCACGAGGCTTTCGGTCCAACTGTCATGTATATGTTTAGCTTTAAGATTTGTTAAGCTTTATAGAAAGTTTTTGAATGGTCAAGTCATATCACTCTTTACCTAGGTGTTCCATCTGGTGTTGATCCTGGCATTGTGCCAACTGGTGCCACATACAAGGTCAGTCGGCGTGCAGACTTGAGTGCCACAACAGCCTGGGCATGGGTGATGCTTTTGAAGGGTGTGTCGTTGACCTTCAAAATCCGCTCACCAGCCTTCAGTCCCTGTGTGGTGTGAAACACAAGAAATGATCAAGAAAACTTCCACATGTTGGAGATGGAGAACACAAAAATTGAAACTGATCTTGTGTCAACTTTGTGTGTCACTTTTTTGAAAGCACTTTCAATTCCAGAGATTTAGTTTCTCATTTTCATTACGAAACCTTCCCTGTTGCTCTGGACAACTTTGTGTGTCACTTCTTTGGGGATCATTTTAGTACCACTGCTTAAGATAAGCTAGGAGTCTGTGTAAAGATGCATGTACAGTCGATCCTCGTTATTAGGAAATCCATGGGATGAAGAATCGTTCGTTGTATCCGAAATTTGTTGAAGATGGAACGCAGTGCAATGGCTTCGGTGTATTAAATGAATAGGTTCAATTGTGCACAATACCATGAACAATGTACTGTACATGCATACCCGTGAACATGGTTGATGTTACATCAAAAAGATATCTCGGTTAGGATTGATCAAGTATATTGTGATGTGTTTAGTAACTTCACTGTCATATGACAATAGGTTTAATGTGCAAATGAGATTAAAAAACAACATGTGGGAAAGCATCGATCCAAGGATTTTTAAAAGACTTTTGATCACCATGGATGATGACGAAGCTATCAGTAACTAACCTGCATGCACATGTAAGCCTGTGTATACCTACAAGAATATGAAGACTCGTCAACTGGAAACCCCATCCACGTGAGTAGACTTTTGATTTTTGACACTAGCTGTATGACACGATTGATAAATAGTCCAAGTTCACTCGCCCACTGTGGCGCGGCCGCATGCATGCAAGATGGTCGCAGAAGAAGCATGACGTCATGAAGGAACATTGCGATTGGATAGCTGTGTCTTGCAAATGTACGTCATGAAAACACACAGTCTCATTGGCGGGTACGCTACATCTTCTTGCAGAAGTATGAATAATTCAGTGTGGGCGATTGTTGGGCTCTTGAGATGCGAGAATAGTCAAGCCAACTTATTTTGGGTCATATTTTTATTGGAATTGGGAAGAGAATTTTTGTTTTGGCATTTATGTAATCAGTGTAAAAATTATTGATTTTTTAATCGTCCACTACACTTGTCATGACAACAGGAAACTGGCAAACGATGTCTGTATATCACGTTGTAAGTGTGGGTGATGCAGCTGGCCGGGGCGGGTGATAAGCCTTGTGCTGCGGCTGGAAATTTTGTGGAAAGACACTCGCTTCGAGTACGAGCAGAGAACCTGCAGTGTTTCTTCAACTTGCAACTATAGAGCTGCATTCGTATACAATGAAGAGGAACATACAACCTTTTTGGGCAGGAACTGTACATTGACTGGTTACCACATTTCCACCATGCCTTCGTTGCCAACGGTTCAGCCCGGCGGGAACAAGTGTGGTGCTCTACACACGTTTTTCCACCACCGCGATTTGCAAACGCTCGTTATAAATGGGTCCTCAACAATGATTTTTCAGGCAACAGAGTCATGATAACCTTTCATTGTAACAGGAATTTCGTACAATGCAGTTTTGCTGTAACAGATTTTCTCCCCATAGAAATGTGCACATTTTCGCCGGGATCACAGATTAGTGTTTCTTATAACCGGACTTTCATTATGGCAGATTTCGTAATAACGAGAGTCGACTGAACATGTGAATAAAACGGGTTCATTGTTTTACAAAAAAAGTGTTATTCTTTACATGTCTGTCAGCTTGTCCACCAGGATCAACCGTGGAGACATAGATTCCAGCATTCAAGTCTTTGCCACCTCGGATACTGAAGCCAAGAGTCTCGTTCTCACGATGTGTCAACTTGACCTTCCTGATCTGAATGGGTTGGGAGGAGGTAGCAGAGGACAATGATGTCTTGGGTGTGGTCTTCTCCTCACTGCCTTGATGCTGCTCACTGCTGGAGTTGAGGGCAAGAGGCGGGACCTTGAAAAAGAAGGAGGGTACATTTGAAACTATCTGGAGCACGTCAAAAAGCTTTGAATGGTCTAGAACTTTTTCCAGTTTAGGGAGTCAAGTTGGCGTGGTAGCTCTTTTCCCCCTTCCACCTCTGCAGCTTGGGTTCGAATCCCACCCAGGTCAGCATGTGGAATGGGTCTCAGTCCCTGCCTGATTCCATAGATTTTCTCTGGAAAAATTGATCTGCGGTTTTCCTTACACCTCTAAAACTGACCATTTCTTCATTGCGAGGGTCCAGAATGATCAGCATCTGCCGGACTGTTACCATCTTTATAGATTGTTCTAAGTAAATAAATAAAATGACTAAAAATTCAAATTTTCAAAACACAAAGGAACAAAAACTTGATCTCCAATTTCAGACGTACGTATCGACTACAACATTCAAATTTCAATGTCTCAGAGAACAACTTATATGTACCTCTAATTCTTGAGAATGATTTCTCCCCAGGTCTACATGTACCTCCATTGTACGGCTCCGTTTGTGCTCCTTTCTCCCTTCTGAGGACCTGGAGCTGTCTCTACGGACCCTGATTAAGTCAGCTCTCCTGGAAGGACTGTTATTGACTGCTTTACGGACTTCTTTCTGGTGAGCAGTTAACACAGCCTTGTTTCTAGCTTCTAGGCCCATGGCTGCTCGGATCTGCTCTACAGGGAGTAGCACCTTAGAAGAGGACTTCCGCTTGATGAGTCTCCCGCTTCCATTTGGGGCAGCCTCCTTAGAAATGTCCCTACTGCCATGTGATGAGCTGATCCTATCCAGAATCTGCGGTCGGATCTGGGACTGATAGCCCTCGAAGTTCAGACAGCAAAGGTGGTCAAAATCCTCCTGTAGGTCCTCGGGAATCATTGGGAAGATGGCCTCCAGAAGGACCATCTTCTCCTGGGTGTTGAGCAGGCTTCGCAGTGTGGTGCAGAACGTTAAGACGGATTTGGTCTGTTTGAAGGCTTGGATGGCTTGCTTGAGGGCAGCGCACTCTCTCTCTTTGAGATGCCTGTGCGCTAGGGTGCGCAGGTGATGCCCAGTGCTCGTCATACTGGATGGATTCCTGACAAGTCTCAATGATCCAAAAACTTGCAGACGATTTTAAAGTCAAAAGATATTCTAAGGAATCAAAGTTAAAAAGATCAATGATTTCAAATTTTTTTTAAATGCACACATTAGGAGTGACCACAGCTTTAAAATATTGCCTGTTCATGTGATGCTGTTTCCCCCCCCCCACCCCTCAAAAAAAAACAAAACCTCGAGGGGGAAAAACTGAGAACGTGGCTTCATTTGATCAACAGTCATTCAGTATGCCAACATAAACACTGAGACAGCCAAGATACTGGTGGACAATTGAATGGTGCGTTTCTGTGATGCTTTCAGCGTACAGCTACATATGGCCAAATTACGATGACAAACAATACTATTTCCATTTCTGGAATCTTGATCATTCCAAAAGAATGGTTTAATGCCAACTTCCTTAATGAAAAAAAGAAGTTCAGTAATGGTTCTTTAGAAACTTACTGGCAACCACAAGCAGGTCTGCAGTGGTTGAGAAGTTACACCCCCAACAAAAATACACGTAGGAAATAACAATAACAGAATCCTGCTAACTCTCAAAAGCTTAAAATCCCTCTTCAGCAAGAAATGCAACATTCACATCTCGATTAGCTTTTTGTATTTTGCAGTACTGAAGCCATTGTTGAAGACAGATTTCAGAAGAGTCCTATTTTTACAATTTTTCTGACTGTCCTTAGCATGTGTCTCTCATTAGCCAAACCATCTGCCACTTCTCATCAATGAAGTCTTCTGCCTTTGTTAATATTACCGTTCCTTCCCCCTTTCACCGTGTAGGCATATTGCTGGGAGTGCCACCGGTAATGGGAGCTCCATGGTAACCTTGGCAACAGATGGTATTCTGACAGCTGCTGTCTTTGTCAAACAAATTTGTTTCTACAAAGTACACAGCACAATGCGCATAACTCGATCAAGGTCCTTGGTAATAATTATGACATACATGTACCCCCCCCGGTACCTTTAGGTTTAACAAATCTCAAAAACCTTACAAGAGGACTACGCTAGCTGTATTTCCATTGCTCATCCCAGCTGCAATGACCCTCTTTTTCCCTTAACAATTACATGTACATGGGGATGCTGTCCATTATTGCATTCTTTCCCACCAGCACAATACCCATATTTAATGATGTCTCATACAGCATAACTGACAATACGTCTGTTGACTTTTTGGAGTGTAATTTATCAATGCATTATCTGTATTGGCAGTTAGTTCAGATAGCATGGGGAGGACTCTCATCCATCTAATACAATATTGAATGTAATTGCCCGTAAGCAGGCAACCACCCAGGCTGCTAGAGCATTCAACACATAGAACGATGATAATGCTATGCCAACAACCAAGTACATGTACAGTGAATAGATAGCAAGGTGGGTCAGGGCAAGGAATCACTGCTTCTCTCTGACATATATAAGTGAAATTGAACAAAGAAATTTAGCATGTCTTTATAAATGACAGGCAATGGATATTTGACTGAAAACAAATTCTTGATATGATTTTGCAGTTGTACATGGCGGAACGGCATCTGAAAATGTGCAGTGGGTGTTTTGGGGACTTAGAAATTTTACGATGACAACACTTCATCTCGCTCCATGCTAACATAGTCATTGTTAATTAAGACTTATTGCAATTTCAAATTTTATTTCCCTTTAAAACGTCATCCAGAGTGATGATAAACAAAAACAAAAGTGAACTATCCTGCAATTTGGTGTGGGATTAACAATAAAGGACAATATTACAACTTTCTTGGGTAGGAAAATAAAATGGTCAAGGCTCACTGTCTCAAACCTCAAATTGGGGATTTCGGTTTCTATTCACTGGGCCATGCACTCATTCATTCTGTTAAGGAAATTCAGTACAGTAATTAGATTGTACATGTAGAGTTCAACGCCGGCTGAATAAAAATATAAAAAAATTAACATGCGATGAGTTCAGGACAAAATAAACACTGTCAAATAGCATTTCAGTTGAAGTACTGACCCTACCAAATTGCCTGCTCAACATACATGTAGCATTTAGCATGATGACGGTACTGATCTGAGCTGAACTGCATTGGTGGTACAAATTGATTTGAATGAAAGTACTGTCCCAATACAAGTTCAAGTGCTCATGATTGTACACGTTTCCTTAACTGAGGAATTAATTGGTTAAAGTACGAGTCGGCCAACGTACACGAATGATTTGATACAGCAATGAAGGTATGAGTGGACTTTTACTTCCTTCAAAACTTTGCACTCGCTGTTCACTCCATCTCTCCCACCCCACACGATCAGGCATGTCAGGCCTGATCTAGTATTGAAACTCCAGCCGTGATGTTCATGACATCTGCAAATTAAATTTCCAGATGTCATGAGCATTAAAGCTAGGCCTAGGTTACTCAGCATGACAGCACATGTACATTAGAACTCTGTTTGATGATTTCTACTAAACTTTTCTTGCCTCAATTGCGTAGGCCTACACTGTATCTTGGCAATTTTTTAAAATTTATTTTCGGTAAGAAATTTTCAGATTAATACGTTAAAAATTCAAATTTGTTTATTTTTATTCAATAACAAAGAGCGAATTACTTTCCCAGCTTATTACAGACTTGATACCTGGCCTGACATGTACCTACATGTACTGTCAGTACGCATGTAAACATGATAGAGGGCCTCCTCAACGAAGCTTAAGTTACGATCTGATAAAACGCAACACAAAATCGTTCCTTTCGACAAGTAAATCGTGGCAAAGGTTTAATGCAAAGACAATCAACAGATACAAGGTTACCTATGCTCGTAATTCCAACCATTCTGAACAGTTGTTGGTCAAAAGCAGAGCAAGAAGTGGAAAAATTTGAACATTTTTCGTACTTACTTACGTTCAACACGCTACACTTTCAGTTTCACTCGTTACTCTGTGGACGGAATGCAATTTACATCCGGGCACTTGTCTCCAGGCGCCGAAGCGTTAAAAACGGGGGCTTGATTGGCCAGTTTGTTGAGAGGCAAGATGCCATTGGTTACCAATAAGAGTTATTGAGACCAATCAATTAAAGCTTCACGCTGCCAAACTTTCTAGCTACTGTGTTACGCAATGGGGATTTAAAAGGCGTGGTGCGAGCATAGACGTGAATCATACTTAAGAATAACTTATTAATGATCTATTAAGGGGACAAAAGTAGCACTCAAAGGCGAACACGCATAAGTGCTACAGGTCGAGACAGCGTTGTAGAAAAGTGGGTTTCGAATTAGCTACCGGTATATTAATTTTCTTTTCTTTTTTTAATTTTGAACATTTTTTATCTCAAAAATCATTAATATTCATTACAAAGGCACGCATTGCTTATGACCAAGGTCAACACTTGCCTCTTGACGCTCTTCAAAGGTGAATACTAGAATTCCATCTGGCTATTTCATCCATTACAAATAGGCTTACGTGTAATAACTACAGTATAGCAATATAGTCTCATACAACTGAATAATTTTTCTCGCAGTTCATGTCCATATAGTCGCTCAAGGCTCAGTATGATGTCGAATTCCTTAACTTTACTCTGGCCTTTAACTGTTTCATTGAGCCTGTGGTGTTGGGTTAATGTTCATTTCATCATTATGATAACCATCAGCTGCTGCTTCCCTTACACTGCATCACAGCTTCTCGATGAAACCACACCAGCTCCGCTGTCCCAACCGAGCTGTGAATTCCAGGATGTTCTCTATGGCGTAGGGAGCTTGGTGCGGAAGTACGATATATGTAGGGAGTGTGTGTGTCAGGTACCAGTGCTGGGAGGGCAACCAAAGATCGTCTGTCCCGTCGCTAAGGTTTGCCAGAATCGCATTGATGAATGCCCCACTGGAGCGTCTACGATGTGGCTGATTTGTAAATGTCCTTATTGTTACAAAGGTATAACCTTTTCGTCAAAGGTTTTCAGCAGTTTCATGCAAAGGAATCCCTCTTATTGCTTGATTCGCATTGTATTGCTGCAGATAAGTCTGCATATTTCGTTTAGAACTTTGCTTGTTCCATTCATATTGTTTATAATAATATTGTTTGAACTGTCTTCTCTTTATCTTCAGTGTAACGAAGACAACATCATTAACAGTATGTCATGTACTATTGGTGTCATCTTTTCATCTCATCAGATCCTTTCATTATACACACGTACACAACATCTCCGACTTACTACTACCAGTATCATCCTGTTGCCTTGGCAACCAACCGCATCGTTGTCCACATCGAGGCAACCAATGATGCCTATCTGGCATTCTCTGCCGAGCCCCGAGATTTGCCGAAAATGTACGAGATTGTCTTGGGTGGTTGGCAGAACAAGTACAGCGTGTTGCGTCGATGCAAACAGTGTCGGGTCCTTGCCTGGGCCCCGACCAATGGTGAGTCTATCGACTCTTATTGCAACTTTTCAGCCAAATAGAAGTACCCCAACCTTATCATCCTTTTATATCCGACGCAATTTCAACCTTTAGAAGCAACAATACCGCTGTATTGTGATTCTGCTAGAAGTTATACATCCCACTAGATAATGAAATAAATTTAATTTAATCCAAACAGTTTAGGACTCATACAACTTACCAAAGTTATGCAATCATTTGACGACACTCCCCAAACAGACAACCTACACACCCTTGCATTTGTTTTCCAGATTGGGATTTTTTTTGCTAGTGAGAAGGTGGGACAAGGAACAAACCCGTATTCTTGAATGAATCTATTTTGTGCCCAAATTGAGAATTGTTGCGTACGTCATGTCTTGTGAATTGCATTGCATGATTTATTACCATTCGAAAAACGAAATCAAAAATGAGATTATTTGAAGTTCAATTTTGTTATTTCCCCTTTGACAATGCTGTTTTGTCTCTCAAACTGGTCAGCCAAGTTTAATTTTCACTTCCAGGAATTCTCCCCAACAAAGTGGATCAATCCTTCTGGATAAGGTTCGATGATGGCGTAGTTGCGATTGGCCTTACTGGATTCCCGTCTTTGTTTCAGTATCATGACCCTGACCCTCTACCTGTGCGTTACGTTGGGTTCGCAACCAGACTAGGAAGCGCCGGAACGTTCCGTTTCATCGATATGGGTAAGGCAGTTTCACCCCCGAAAATTCAGAACTAAATTGTTAATAACTAAATTGAAAATTATACCCGATACGGATTCTTACATCTACCCAACAAGTTCCTGCACTGTACAAACACTGTGAAATTTTTAGTCCAAGTTACTGTTTTTTGATCGATTTCTTTTCCAGTTTAGAAAAATGTTTTAAAATTATTCATTGAATTCTTCCTTAATTTAGACAATACCCCACCCTGCTGCTATTATGTGTTACGTGTTATCCATGTTATGCACAAAACAATATGGTCAAGGATTGTTGGTCGCCACCCTGAACAAACCGCAGCATCGCCAAGAGGGGTCAATCATTTTTCTGGTTCTTTTCAACCTTATATAGACCTTTTTGTTTCCTCTTTAGACGCTATCGAACACATCACAGTCAACTTTGAGCCAAGTGGAGGTACATTGGTACATTTTCTTCGCTATTTGATTCTCAATTCCCCTGTCAACAAAACATCAATTTTTGATCATGAAGTTTTTCTGTCCGTGACTGTGTGGAACACTTTTTCAAAAAACAAACAAAAATAAACCCTTTTATGCTCGGCATTGGGACAAATGACAATAATCCAAGGGGTCGATATAAGATCTTTTGCAAAGTTTTGTCCTACAATGGGTGCTGACAGTTTGTACATGATAACTGATAAGTGTACGTGAGGATGGGAGTCCATCGAGCAAAAACAAGACAGCTATCAAGAGAGACTAGATTCCATATTACACCAGGATTCAAAGTAAATCCTGGCTACACTGGTGGCCAAGCTTAGCAAAAGTTGTGAAACGAACAAGAAGTTATATGTGATATGAATACCCATGCCGAACAAAAAAACAACACATTACTTTTTCACAATGTTCCCCTAACAGCTGCGTATTCAGTGGAATTTGACTTAAAACTCTTCTTTCATCTATATGAAATTTCTTTCTTGACTTGATTATCATTTAGATTTTACTGGATGTTCGCCTGTTGTGACGGTTGATGAAAAAAGTTCCCCGACTGTCATGCCTGGCCCGGTTCCATCTAACTTCGTTTTTCTGTACATTAGCTCCAACACCGATGTCATCGTTTCGCTATCAAACGACAAAGACCCGAGCGGCTCCGAAACGTATCGCATTTTAATTGGTCACGGCACTGGGGTCCGCTCGTCCATCGTTTATTGCAGTGAAGAAGATCAGCGCTGTGCGGAGGTCTTCTCCGCCGAAACATTCAATTTGCTCGGGCAAGACCGCATGTACGGATTTTGGCTCGACGCTGGTCAGACAGCAGAGGGCGCTATTACATTTGGCCGCGAAGGGCATCCAGCGTTTTTGAGCTTTCGTCCAGAAATAAATCTACTTAGAGAAGGTTTTCATGTATCTATCTCTGTCCATCATACTGGCTTGGCAAATGTTATCATTTGTTAATGCAAATAAAAGGACATTCTATCGTATGTTTTGTGTTTCAGAGAGAAAAAGCTTGCAGTTTAGAGGATTTTTGCTTTTCTGGTTAAAATGAATACAAATGGCGTACCACATGCCCTTTTCATAACAGTACTGCATGTTTATTGAAAGCATTTGTTTAGTTGAGTTGTCCACTGTTTAATACTTTGATCCATTCCTTCTCTCCTTCCTTGAAAAATCTGGAACTGTTTTGGGTGATAAAATTAGTTTAAGTTTATACTTTGAGAGGTAGGCCTACTTTCAGAAGTGTGCAGCGTAATATTCTACCTTGCTCTGGAAGCCGTGAATAAATAGTGACCGTTTCTTCACCTTCTTTAGGAAATTGATTTCTTAGGCATGTGTTACCAGTATTGAAGCCACATTGTCTCGGTTGTAAGACGCCTTCCCATAAACGTGTTTTCAGTGCTTCTCTTTTTCGTATGCTTGAGTTGTGGTGAGCGCCCACTGAACTTTTGAGGAGGAATGTGCATGCGGTAAACCGAATAGGCATTCATGGCATGACGGCCTAAATGCACAGGGATTTGAAAAAAATATATCCATCAGCCTACCAAAATGATGGTAATATGAATAAGAACCAACCCAGGATTTACCGACTTGGGAAAGTTGGAATATTGTGTATATAAGGACACCATGCTCAGTAGCGTAGCTGGAGGGGGTGGGGTGGGGCAATTTCCCCCTTCTGTCAAGTTTTGTAGGACCACCCCCTACTTCTAAGGAGAACCTGGTTACGCCACTGGTCATGCCAATCATTATGTATATTGTAACTTTTAGCCCAATACATTTCGACAGACGCCGATTAGTTCTTGATAGCGATACAAAATAAATAGCAACGCCCATGGCGGATCATCGGGAGAGGAAGCAAAACGGACACCGACACCAAAGCGGGTTTGTTTGCTTGTGCTGTGCTTTTTGTTTCTTATAAAATGAACAGAAAATGAGGAAGGGAGGGGGATTTCATTTCTATTCCTCCTCAAACCGTATGTAAAAAGCCTCAAATACCGCCCCCCAGGAAAAAGGTCATGAAGGTTAATTTATTAAATCTTCAAAATAATATCCCCACTCCCCCGAATGGCCCCGGATTCGCTCGTGTGCAAAGCGACGACAGTAAATTTCCTTTTGGGAAGAAACACGTACGTGGACGTTTCTGTTCCAATGGGGGGGGGGGACCATATTTGGTAACATTCGAACAGTTTCCAAATTAGACTTCCATCTTCACCCTTTTTTTTTACCAGGAAATAAACTTGATTGTTAACTGGTACTGAAACCTGAATCTTGCGAGAGCATTTTTTTTCCGGCCGCATTTGATTATATTAAAAAGCACGATTGGAAAGTTTTGTTATGGAAGCAATACTTGTACAACCGACAGTTGGTCGGAAATTCCCATGTTTACACATTAGAAAAGGAGATTGGACGTGGAAGATGGAATGATAGAGATTTAATTTTGTTTTCTAAATACAACTCACCATTAATTATTAAAAACATTTTTTTTTCGATGCACACTCGCAAGTTATACACATACCTTTTCGGGACACGTTTACCGCCCATGTTCGCTCCGGAGAACTTCGAGGAAAGGGGGGGGGCTGTAACTATAATATGATAGGGGTCATGGCTTAGAGCTCACAGCCTGCCTGGACTGACATGCGAGTTTGAAGGCTGATATTTTACCCTTACTGTCGATGCATCGCATGCTTTCCTCTGAGTACCAATCCTTAGTCGCTAAAATTGTACCGCACTGCTTTATTCCACTAGTTTCGCGAATGTAAAGAAATAGTTTTTGGAGTTATGTTATGTAAAGAATTAAAATACGTCACATTTGGAATTTTTAATTGGAAATTGGGGTTGACAGGTTCGACCAGGGAGAAACCCCTTTAGGGACTCGAGGCTGGTACCCAAGATGCGCTGGGATGCTTTGCCATCGAATTTAGAAGGGAACCAGCCCAGTGTGTGACTCATACCAGATCGCACACCCGGACTCAGTGCACTGCGTAAACTTATACGGAAGTGAGAATCTGTAGTGCTCGGAGTCGTAGCACCATACACAAAAACGAAACCAAATCTGTGACGGATGCATTCCTAAAGTGGCAATTTCGAATTCATTTGCACCGAACTGAAAGCATAATTTCTCGACAGTCTTATCACAGTTGCTGTCTGATGCATTAGGCCTCTTAACTATGGGTTTCAGCGGCAACGAAAAGCCGGAGTTGCTGTCGGATGCCGTGGTATGGAAGACCTTTTGAAGTAGGGAATCCTTGACAAGCTGTGCTGGCTGTCACTGTGGAAGGTCGATCGAGGGTGTGACGACACGGCAGGGAAAACGCTACACAGTGTCGCCATCCTAGTGGGACTCTCCCAAGACAGGATTCTGTAATTCAGCGACATTTCAGGTCTTTTCATGGCCAAGCAAGATGATTTCGGGTATGTCACTTGTTAATATTTACGAGCAAGGGATTAATTATTGTTTTTAATGTATGTTTTGTTGGATGTACAGGTACGTCGTCCATCAAGGCGTCATGATTATGATGATCATGCCAGTCGAAGACACAACGAATCTAGCTCCAATGCTGGAACTTAATACATGTATGCCAGCGTGTAACCCTCGATGCATCAGGTTGCAAAGTGTTAATATAACCTAAATCTGTCCAAAAAAACCCAGTCTTCTGGTTTGATGAGAATTTAGTATTATTGGTTTGATAGCAAGTTATTTTCTTGTGTGGTAAATGCATCATTAAACATGTTAAAAACATACATGTGGACTACCCCCAGAACTCTGGGGTCTGACGTCTGCCCCACTCCCGCAGCGGTGCGGACATCGGACCCCACAGTTCCGGGGGTAGATGTGGACTGGATACATGTAGGCCTGTTGTTAGTGTTAAGACATAAAGATTTGTCCCAACCATGGAGCTATTAAAACACGTTTGGGAATGTCCCAATTATAAGAGTGCGGTTGGGTGGGCCCAACTATGGCACAGAGGGACTTGCAAGGCTTATTTGTATAGATCTATAGGCAACTCACTCTTGCAGAACCCTGACCATGCATGTATGTAGTTTTCATTTGTCATGAATGAAATGCCAGGTTGAGATGAATTCTGAGGAAATTTCATGATCATCATGATCATCTTCCCTACAATGGTATCTGCTATCAGGAAGCAATAACATGTCCTAAAGAGTCAAATTTAGCAAGGAAAATAGTGAAGCATTTATATATACGTTACTTTGGGAGACATAGCCTTTTAGCGACAGTTTGTTTTTAAACTATTATGTTCTCCAGGGCGGCCACTGTGTCTTGTGATTGTCTTTTTGCATGTTCAATTGCCGCAAATAAATATGATTATGATTATTTAAAAAATATGTTGAAGTTTTCAGACCAGTCTCGTAGGATTTGTGATGTTCCTGTGTGGAACTTTTTCTGAATTCTGTCAGTTATGAGACTACCGTAGGTTGAGAAATTTTCTACAGAAATTCCCTGACTATGCATGTAGTTGGGAGTGTCCCAACTATACAAAAACTTGGGGACTGATGCTGTAATGGCACCTAGTTAGGATAAAAACAGGCCTGTCTTTCTGTGAAGCAACTAGCACAGCCAACTCAATTTTGCATTCAATTTGGTGTATTCTTTTCATGTCATAGTCATGTTTTTCCTAAAGTGGCTGCGAAAACTATAGTTGGATATAAGTACAAAAGTAAACGAATAATTCACAAAGTGTTAAAACTCCTACGCAGCTGTTAAAATACCAAATAATAATACTTATGCATACTACTAAATATACTAAATGGAAACACAGCCCTGTATAAAATTAACCCTAACAATCTCCAACCAGTTAAACTTAAACAACAGTAAGGTGGTTTTTTTTTAGGGAAAATTTTTACCGATTGCTATGTGTACATGGTGTTGGATTTTGACTAAATAGGTAGGGCCTGCTGTTGGCCTGCACTTACCCTGTTGAATTTTGACTGACTGGGTACTGTGGCCCTCTCACTTTTTACCATCAGGAATTTTAAATGAGGGGAGACTCTCCTCAATTTCTTGAGTACCATTTTATTTTAAAGATAATGTAATGATGGGAAGTTTCCCATTGAAATGTACATGTATATGTAATATGATGTAATTATTACCATAACAAGGACAAATTTATGCCATCACTGGTAGCTTACCACAGTGATTCCAGCAGCCGGGGATGGATATGCAGGATGATGGTGTGTGAGTTTGTTTGAATAGGTACTGCCTGTCCATACTCTTTGTACTGTGCAGTGGGCCTGCTGTACCCAATCAAACAAAATCTCACTGGTAAAGACCTATTGGAGTTTGTGTGATTGGGTACTGTTGCAGCAGGAGGTACTG